TAATATCTCTGTACCTTTATTTTCATTTTAGAAATTATTTTTACAACCACTATATTACATAAATTTTATTTTATCTTTGTCCTAAAAGACTATCTAAACAACCTAGTAGGACTAAAGTCAATTCGTCAAAAATGAATTGATTTTTTTAGTTAAAAATTATTTTTACTTAGCTGAAAAAAAGATCATTTTAATTTAGATAGTGTTTTGAAATACAATTAAAAGGTTAATTACCAACATATATTACTCCGGAAACTAACAAAAATAAAATTGGGAAATGTCAAAAAAAAGGTTGCAAAACAAAATTATTTATTTTTTAGAATTATAAATTATTTTTTTATCTAAGTAATTCATTATTAAATCAGTAAAAAATAAACCTGTAAAAACGGGCGATAATGGAAAATCTCTAAATATGTCCAACTCACTGTCATCATCACTGCTGCTCCAATGAATGGGGCTGTTATATTATCTCACACATTCTTTAAAAAGGTTCTGAAGGTTGAATTTATTTCGAACATGTTTAGAAAACATAACACTATATCCTTGGATCGTTTCAACAATAACTTTTTGTTTCATTAAATAAATTTTATTTTAGTCACATATTATCTAATTAAAATGAAAAATGTTATGTAACTGATTTCTAATGAATCTTAAGGAATTTAGATAGGTATATATGTAAAGTTCATGACATAGAAATTGGACACATATATATATATATATATATATATATATATATATACCATGAGGTTCATTTTCAAATTTCTACGCGATTACAAACATATTAGTAATAGCTCAACCAAAGCTTTTTATGAATTCAGTTTTAACATTTAAAGAAGTTTTTTTTTTAATGTATTACACCAATTTTTTTGGGAAAAAATTTATTTATTGTTCACTCTGAGAATCAAACCAGTATTGTTTATTATTAAAATTGGCTCTCAATTTTTTATGTTTGCCGTCAATTACACCTATATTATTTCTATTTTTTTTTCGACTAATTCTAATTACACCGATAATAAACACACGTTTAACGCCATTTCCATAAAAAAATTCACTATCAATATTTTGACTAATGTTCCGCTAGATAGACTTGGTCAGCCCACTGTGTGTTGTTTTTGGGGTGGTCTACTTTTGTTTGGAAAAGGTCCATCTGTCTTTAAATAAGTTCAATTTTTATTGAAACCAATCTAGAGAACAGATATCCATAGTTGCAGTCTATAGCAAGAGTACTTTCAGAATCCATGGTCAAAAACTTTCTTCAAAATAGACCATATTTTCGGCGTTCTCTCTCCACTGTCATTGGCAACAATCCTCACCGCAACTCCAGGCCCTGTCATCTGGTTCTTATGGCAACAAAGTTCTTATACCACAATGATGTCACATCGTTGGGCTAGGGTACTCAGCTTATCCGTAATCACTCGAATTCTTTGAGTTTCATCCAACAGAGTGGTAAATGTCTGACACTTCTTTTAAACCATCCAGAATGATAAAATGAGTAAAAATCAATCGTGACACACAATCAAGAACAGTGCGTTTTCTAAACTGGCACGTTAAATGGAATAATTACACATGTCAAATTTTTGAGTTTCATTCAACGGAACGGTAAATGTCTGGGCCTTCATCTAAAACATTCAGAATAGTAAAGTGAGTAAAAAATAAAATGAGTAAATAAAAGGGGGTTTAGAGATTTTATTCATGTATGGGTTAAATTCTTATGGTGAAGTTTGCGAGAATGTCATCTTCTTCATCCACTCACTAATGTACTAGCAACAGACAGTCTGAGTCAGAATTTAGTAAGATATAAAAATCTTTCAAATAATTGTATTTTCAAGTGTTTACTGTTCGGTTGAATCCATTAAACAAAAATTGATTTTTCGCATCAGATTTGGATAAGCACTGGCCCAGCAATTGATTTTTACTTACTTTACGATTCTGAATGCTTTAGAAAAAAGTTGCAGCGGTTTACCATTCCGTTGAATGGAACCGAAAATTTGTCATGTTTGAGCGCTTCGGTTTTGGAAACTCACCCAATTTCGACTATTTCCATTTAAACTATAACTTGCTTGGTGTAATACAGCTTTGGTGTAAATTGTGGGTGTTTATCTTTCTGTTGAATGAAACCTCAAAAACTGACTTGTTTAGGGCCAGATTTCACCCAAAACTTACCCGATCTGGACAGCAAGACTTGGCGATCTGAGATCTACTTGATAAGGAATATTGATTAAAGGTATTGGTAGCTCTACATTCGCCCATTGAATATAAGTGCCATTGGCTCCTAGTCTATAAGGATAAACTATAATAAAGGAGTGGGTAAGAGATTAAGATTCAAAGTGAAAGATTTTCTAAGTTATTCCTTATCTAGTAAGGATGATGGAGATGGAGAAAAGAAAAGCAGTAAAAACAGGAAAATATGAGTCATACTTTCCAAAAGGTTCAGACTTTCTATTTTGATTGGGGGGGATGGATAAAAAAAAAAAGCAGTAAAAACAGGAAAATATGAGTCATACTTTCCAAAAGGTTCAGACTTTCTATTTTGATTGGGGGGGGGGGATGGATAAAAAAAAAAAGCAGTAAAAATAGGAAAATATGAGTCATACTTTCCAAAAGGTTCAGAATTTCTATTTTGATTGGGGGGGGATGGACAAAAAAAAAACCAGTAAAAATAGGAAAATAGGAGTCATACTTTCCAAAAGGTTCAGACTTTCTATTTTGATTGAGGGGATGGACAAAAAAAAAAAGCACTAAAAATAGGAAAATAGGAGTCATACTTTCCAAAAGGTTCAGACTTTCTATTTTGATAGGGGGGATGGACAAAAAAAAAAAGCAGTAAAAATAGGAAAATATGAGTCATACTTTCCAAAAGGTTCAGACTTTCTATTTTGATTGGGGGAATGGACAAAAAAAAAAAAAAGCACTAAAAATAGGAAAATAGGAGTCATACTTTCCAAAAGGTTCAGACTTTCTATTTTGATAGGGGGGAGATGGACAAAAAAAAAAAAAAGCAGTAAAAATAGGAAAATATGAGTCATACTTTCCAAAAGGTTCAGTCTTTCTATTTTGACTGGAGGGGATAGACAAAAAAAAAAAAAAAACATTGGATGTAGTTCATATTATGTGTTCAAATTCAACATAATTATTGTGAAACAAACAAATGTTTCAAAATCCAATAATAATATTGGATATTTAAACATAAATTTATTTATATGACAGTTGTAGGATTTTTTTTAATGTGCTTTTGGATATATTTGAAAATATCTGAATAAAACAATTTGATATATTACAATTTGTATACATTCAAAATGAGAGGAAGGGGAACAGCCTCCATAACATAAGCACATTTCTAGTACTTTTTCAGCTAAAAATGAATATTAAATGTTATGAATGTTAAAAACTGAAAAATACTTTTGATTTCTTAGTTTTTACAATCTCCAAACGAAAATAAAACGTTTTCACAGTCTGACATACATAGCCATTTTTACATAAAATGTCTAATAAAAAACATTTTCTATAAAATATACTTATACTTATTAAATATATTTTTTCCAACTTTATAACAGAGAATGTATAAGAAATCATGTAAAATGTCCATGTGAAAGTCGAGGGCATGAATGGAAGGAATATAAGTTCATGACAATTGATGTCATTTAAACTAAGTAAAAAAAAAATTATTTCTTAATTAATGAATTTATTATTATTTTTAAAAAACTTATATCTATGACATTTATCAAAATATTATAAAAATAATTATTTACAAAATATAATTATATTTTAAAAATTGTATAAAAACAAAAAAATACTGTTTAATTCTTTGTTTACTTTTAAGATATACTTATACAATTACTATTTAAAATAGCAAAAGTCAAACAAGTTAACTGAAGGTAAGTTCTACTTTTTCTCCATGGAATGGATGGAGAACTGGAAATAAACAAATGCAATTGTTTACATACACAAAGTTTTCTGAGCTTAATAACTATTTAAATCATTAATTGATATAAGCATAAAATATTCACAATATTAAGTAAAAGTAACATAATTGTGAAATAAAGTCTTTTAATTACACATGTATTCAAAAGTAACATAATCAAACATTAAATTATAATACACATTAACAATCAACTATTTATTTAACCATTGATTGCTTATACTTGATATTTTTTTTAAACAGATGTTAGGATGGTATCACATTACCTAAGATTTACATAATTATAAGCAACTAAAGTTGTTAACCTAAAACAAAGTTGTTTTTGTTTATGATGTTTATACAATAAGGATAATAACCAAAAAACTAAATTTCTAAAACTTATCATAAATTTCAATGACACTTTTGGATTGAAAAATAGATAAATTGATTTTTAAAAAATCAAATAAAAATAATAAATAAATAAAACGATTTAATGCAGGGTAGGATAGTTAAAATGATTGAAAATATTAAACACTGTCAACTGTACATTAGAAAAGGTTTTTGTAAATGGAGCACTATGAATAATAAATCGAATAATCTAAATAATTACTATCAAAGACCATCAATTGGATTTATAAATAGTAGATATAAATGCAAATAAATACTTTTAACTATTATAAAAATTGTTAAATGAAAAATCTAATAATTCACAGTATCTAATAAGCAATACATCTTATTCAAAACTGATATAGTTCTGTTAACAGTAATAGTTCCAAATAATGGGCATGTCTTACAGTAATGTGATATAAATAAGTTTTTAAAATATAATTTATGATTTTATGAGATCAATTTACAGGACATCATCATTAAATTATGTAAAACTAGATTGTCTAATAACTGGAGGTACATTAATATTTAACAATTGGTAATCAATTTTTTTTTTAAATATATAAAATTAATAGGTAGCTATGACATGAAACTTTTAGAAACTCATATGAATTCATATTTTTAAGTAATAAAATAAGAAAAAAGAATATTTTTGATATTTTAAAACTGCAAAATTCAGGAACTCATAGTTAATTATTTCAAATAAATCACAAAACAAGTGGAAACTATCAACCATTTTAGACAGCCAGGTATTTATAATTACTTATACATATACGAATCTCACAATGTTTATTTTGAATAAACAAATGTCAGATAAAAAAATGTGTAAGTTATTACTTACACATGAATAAATAAAAAATAATAACTTAATATTACTATTAGTTCAGTACATCTAGTCAGATTTAATAGTAACTCATAAAACAATTAGGCACTGACTTTTCAAAATGAAAGTTGAGGCTTCAAAGGCTAATATCTAAACATTAATACTTTGGTAATTGACAGATAAAATTATGAACTGGTATGGCAATAAAACCAGACAATGTTATTCCTATAGCATCGGAGAGGGAAGTGAACGCCATGGAAAACTCTTGCTTTTCAATAGGAACCTGAAAAATACAATCTCATTCAATAAAATTACAATGCATTCTAGTCAGGTTAATAGATTATGCATATAAAATTTCTGAGGATGGCATATAAAAGTTACGTGAAACATATTCTTGAATACGGAAGTGAGTTACTCATAACAGCACCAGAGTCTAACACCCTAAAAATTTAAAAAGTGCAAAACAAGACCCTCCAAATTATTACTGGCACCCCAAAATCAACACCTATGACAGCTATGCAGCTTCAAACGTGTATAGAACCCATCAAGGTTCAAAATGAGATCGCTGTGCTAACAAGGAGTGAGAAACTGATGCATTTGGAAATTGACTACTGGAAGGAATGTAAAACTGCCACAATGAGGCTTAAAACTGTCACGTTCATGAAGAAATTGGAGACAATTAGAGAAATTAAAGGACTTAATATTTCTTCAAGAGAAAATTTCATGACGATTCCACCAAGGGTCTCTACAGAGTCAGCACAAACCAATTTACACCTCCTGCAACCAATCAACAAGCAAAGCTGCTCTAAGATAGAACTAAGAAATTAGCACTTGAAACCATAAGGGAGAGGTACCCCAGTCCTTCATGGTTACACATGTACACAGATGGTTCTGCGAATAGAGAAAGAATGGATGGGGGAGCTGGTGTTCATGCAGAACGTTTCCAAATGTCAGAGCCTGTCGGAAAGCTAGCAAGTAACTTTAGCACTAGAAAAAGCTAGTTTTTCTAGCATTAGAACTGATAAAAAAGTCTAAACCGCAAAAAGTTGTGGTCTTAATTGACTCACAAGCTGTAATAATTGCCATTTCAGATCCTTTCTGCTGTTCCACAAATCAAATTAGTACGTGTCATCAATTGTTTGAGGAGCTGATTTTAGAAGGAACAGATGTCGTTCTACAGTGGATACCAGGAAACTGTGGTTTGACAGGTAATGAAAATGCTGACCGATTAGCCAAAGAAGGTACTGGAAAAGATCAGCCAGATATGCCAATCCCTTGATGGCAAAGAAGCTAATCAAAACAGTAATCACTAAAGAATTGGAACAGAAACGGCAGTTGGAGTTAAAAGAGAAGCAATGGGCTTCATTATAGAAGAAAATGGAAGAGTTGAAGAGTTTATAAGAAGAAAACGGATCTCCCTAGAAGTGCACAGTTCGGCCGTTGCACTGAACCACTATAACCCATGAAGGGTCTTGGGTTCAGTACTATTTAGGGAAAGCACTATTTCTAGGTCAACGGTTGTGCAAGGAGGTGATTTGAACGAGATCACACTCAGCCGCCAGGTTTTCTCCCTTAACTAATTATTTAATTAAGGATACCCACTTTATAGGGGCTAGGTGTGCCCCGGAAGGGTCTCCTGACCCAGGGTCGCTCCACGGTTAATGAAACAGATAAATAAATTTTCTGCCATGAGCCGGGGTTCGAACCTAGGACCTTTAGCATTGGAAGCTCAGTACCCTACCACTGAGCTACCCCACTCTCTCAAGATGATCGAGGCATAGAATAAAAAAAATAAAAAAAAAAATATATATATATATATATATCTTTTTTTTTTTTTTTTTTTAGTAGCAATTATATATATATATATATATATATATATATATATTATGCCTATATCCACATTTTGATTTACAACATGATATAGAACTTGTAGTTGATTAAGTAATAAGTTTGATCATTTGCTTGATCTTCAACCATTTTTAAAGAAATTAAATGATAAGTATAACAGAAAAACTGTACAAATATTTTTAAAAAAGTTTAAATAATGAAAATGAATAGGCTCAGGAACCTATTAGGAAATACATTGGGTATTAATTTAAATAGACTGAATATCTTATTAGAAGGTCTTTATATGATAATTAATAGTAATATTTTTTTATAAATCATTTTCTTATTAAATAAAAAAAATATGCAGATATATGGGTATGAAGATGGGTATGAAGACTTTCTATTCACCTTGCAATTTGCAGATGATCAGTTAGTCATCGTTTCAGATGAATATGACCTGCAATGCTTGGTGAAATACTCATTGAGGAGTACTCTAAATGGGATCTAGTGATAAACCAGAATATATACCATTTAACTTTTCGAGCACATCTCTGAAAATGGAAAATTGGCATCTTCCCTGGAGCACAGAGTTTTGTTATTTAGGAGGGCAGATAAACAAAACAGGAACCATAGATAAAGATATTCCATTGAAAATATTTCAGTGAAGATAATTGGACTCCTCAAATTAGTTTTATAGAATAAGGATATTTTCATGAAAAATAATATATCAAACATTTCCATTAAGAATAGCCCTACATAGCACCAAAGCCAGGACATTAAAACAATTATACGCCCCTAAGCTATTAGCTTTAGAGATGGATTATCCACAAAGAAGCTGCATCATCTGAAGGAAACAAAATATATCTAATAGTACTATTAAAAAAATATAGGTCAAGAAAAAAATATTTGATATAATATTGAAACCAGATAATTTCAATGTTTGGTCACGTAATGAGGATGGGAGACAACAAATGTCCAAAAAAAGTTTTCTTGATAATAAAAATAAGATGCCACAGCCAAGGAAGATGTAATAAAGAAAATAGCTGAGAGAGGAAGAATATTCCAAAAGAAGAGTATAGGGAGACTAAATTATCAATATTGGAAAAAACAATTGTACAAAGTTGAAATAATAATAATTCAAATATAAATATGACTATTTTATTTTACTTTAATCAGAAACAAATAATTTAAAATAAAAATTAAAAAAGTTGTAATTAATCATTAAAAAAGTTATATAATATGTATGTGATAATTGTGGATTGATGGTTGACTGTAGTGAATAATTGAAGAGAAGGATGATCAGTAAAAAAAAAAAATTGTAAAAATAAATATGTATATTTATTTTTATTTTTGCCGACATTTCAGCCTACAGTTCCGCTCTTCATCAGGGTATCAATTAAATTAAACAGAAATAAGGAAGTCGCCAACGAAAAGGAAAAAGAGGTTTAAAAAAAGAATTAATTAATGCATTTTTCATTTTTTTTTTTTAATCACACGTTCACATAGATCAGTAATACTCCATTATTATTTATGTTTATTACCTCTGGATTATATTATCTCCTTAATTGCTTCATAAAAGACTTTTTTATTTTCGTTTAACTTAATTCATTTTTTGTTTTCTTTAATCTCATTAAAGAAATTCATTTTTTTGTTTTCTTTACTTTTGCGTTTCACGATGATCAATTATGCTCCATTATTACTTAATATCTATTATCTCTGCATTATACTATCTCCTTAATTTATTCTATATTATATTATTATACTATCCTTAATTTATACTAAATTACATTATACTATCTCTTTAATTTTAATTCTTTTTCGTTTTCTTTAATATCACGGTTTGCATTTATTTCAGTAATACTCCATTATTATTTAATATTTATTATCTCTGTTTTATACTATCTTCATATACCTTATTTCCATTCTCTTTCAGTTTGTCTGGCGACATCCTTCATTGGACCAGATCTGTTTATCTGTTTTATCTTTTTCCCGTTACTCTCTTTTCCATATCTCCACCTCTATTTTGTGTATGTTGATACATTGGCTCTTATCTTTTTTACATTCTTTTCACTTTTTAATCTCTTATACGTAGTCAGTAAGGTTTGATAGATTTAACAGTATCTCAATTTTCTATTGACATCTATTATCTCCTTATATAACTTCATATTCCTTTTCTCTGTTTTACATTTTATTCTATGATTATCTCACTTCCTTTAGCATACTATCACATCATATTTTAGAAGCTATGTCATCCCATTAATTTTTGTCTACACTTACGTTTATTATCTCATACATTCCACTACTTTTTGTTGTTAATTCATTTTACTTTCACTTACGTATATATGTAATATATAGTAAGGGCAAGTATTGCGATCAAGAAAATTTTTGAATCTGAGTTTTCAACGAAAATAGACGTTTTAAGGTACCCTGAGTCGAAATGACCAAGTCCCGAAAAATGGTCTGTGTCTGTGTGTTTGTATGTTAGCAGTCTAGCTCAAAAACGAAAAGTCCTACGAAACTGATATTACGTATTTAAGATAGTAGTCTGTGGGCCAGACCCCCTTACCGTGCACCCCCCCCCACATCCCTATAAATTGCATATCGCTGTGTTCCTTGTAACAATTTATTAAAAAAAAGCCAATGTTCCCACAAAAAAAAGTGAACGCACTGCCCCAAAATGGCGTCCAAACATGGCGGATTGACGACTTTGATTTTAGTTAGTTTTTTGGTCACTGAGAATCAGCATTTGGCTTAATTTCCTCATAGTTGGTCTTTTATTAAAGCTGAATAGTTATAGAATAATAAAACATGAAGAAATATTAAAAAATAATTGGCTTAGGCTATGAAAAACACCAGTAAAGTCAATTTTTTTAACAAAAAAATTTTCAAGTTACAAATCAAGCCTCGTTTATAATTAAACGGCCTACAATAACGCAAAACGTGCTGAAATAAACCATCTGGAGAATATATTTCTCTTTCTAAAACGCTGATTATTTTTTACAAATGTTTAAGCAGTTCCGTAGAAAATGCACTTATGCGGCAGAAAAGCGGTACTGGCGTGGGTGCCTACAGGCCTCTACCACACCATTCAGTGCCCATAAATGGCTTAGTTATAGTGATATAATAACATTTTTGGTACATTATATTGATTTTATTAACGAACAAATATTAATTCAATAATTTAATTGTAAAAAAAAATTAATTAAAAAAATGTATTATTATTTTTTTTTAATTTAACCTCCTTTATTCTATACGTAGGTCGTTTAAGGAGACCTCAATTGTAAATATGATATAATTATAATAATAAAAATTAATTAAAAAATACTTTGCTAAATATCTTGATTTTTTTTATTTAACGTTTGCAATTTAACACTGTGTTTTGTATATTTACTGATTCTTAGAAGTAATTAAAATTTGTATATACTTCCCAGGAAATGAGTCATATTAATACCTTTTTTATAAACTAAAATAATATATATCTAATCTGAACTATATATAATGAATAGCTACCGGGTTGTTTAGTAAAACTCATATATCACTAATTAAAAAAATAGTTTTTATTTCCTTTATTTTGTGCAGAAGTTGAACTATATCATAAATAGATAGGAAATTTTAATATTGAATGAATTATTCTCTATGCACAAAGAAAGATAGAAGGGAAACCTCGGAATAGATAAAAAGGAGCAGTATCCATTGTATAGCTAAATGAATGTATAGTAGAGAGATGAACAGAATATTTCAAGATGCTGCTAAAACGGGATCAATTGCAGTTTTGATGATATTAAGTGGACGATGTAGGTTTATTATGGTCAAAACCACTTTATTTTCGATTGCTGAAGGTGCACATTGGGACTATATTAACTTTGAAGCAGGATATAGAGAGGTATATCGAGAAAGTTATAGCTCATAGCTTTCCTTCTGTTTATTGCATTTGAAAAGATTTTTTAAGGAATCTTAAAAGAAAACGAGCTTTTCTGAAAGACAATTAGATATTAGCATAATCCAAATTGTGAGGCACTAAGCAGATAAAGAGCTATTTTTCTTTTTATGTGGACTTCTCTATAACCTGCCTTAAAGTGAAGACAGTACCAATTTTCAACTTCTCTTCCAATGTGCAACTTGAGTTTCTCAATCCATATCACTCTGGCAATCGACAATATTTCTTATTCCAGCTTCTACGATTCTTGAGTATAATTTGTTTGGTACACTAAACAGCAATGAATCTTATGGGTATTACATTTCCTAGTACCTCCTTTCTTGTAAAGGTAAAAACCACAGTCCTTTTATATTATTTTCTAATATGCTTGTTGCCCATGTACGCGCTAAATTGTCAAAGCAGTTCGGTTTCGCCATTTCCATCTTTCTTTGTGCAGAGAGAATAATACATTCAATATTAAAATTTCCTATTTTTTTATGATATGGTACAAATTCCGAACAATTTATTCCTCAATTTCTGAACAATAACGAGCTATAACTAATATAAGATTCCTTAAAAAATCTTTTGCAAATGCACTAAACAGAAGGAAGCTATGAGCTATAACTTCCTCGATATACCTCTCTATATCCTGCTTCAAAGTTAATATAGTCCCGATGTGTACCTTTAGCAATCCAAAATAAAGTGGTTTTGACCATAATAAACCTACATCGTCCTCTTAATATCATCCAAACTGCAATTGATCCCGTTTTAGCAGCATCTTGAAATATTCTGTTCATCTCTCTAAGATAAGATTCATTGCTGTTTAGTGTACCAAACAAATTATACTCAAGAATCGTAGAAGCTGGAATAAGAAATATTGTCGATTGCCAGAGTGATATGGATTGAGAAACTCAAGTTGCACATTGGAAGAGAAGTTGAAAATTGGTACTGTCTTCACTTTAAGGCAGGTTATAGAGAAGTCCACATAAAAAGAAAAATAGCTCTTTATCTGCTTAGTGCCTCACAATTTGGATTATGCTAATATCTAATTGTCTTTCAGAAAAGCTCGTTTTCTTTTAAGATTCCTTAAAAAATCTTTTCAAATGCAATAAACAGAAGGAAAGCTATGAGCTATAACTTTCTCGATATACCTCTCTATATCCTGCTTCAAAGTTAATATAGTCCCAATGTGTACCTTTAGCAATCCAAAATAAAGTGGTTTTGACCATAATAAACCTACATCGTCCTCTTAATATCATCCAAACTGCAATTGATCCCGTTTTAGCAGCATCTTGAAATATTCTGTTCATCTCTCTACTATAGATTCATTTAGCTATATAATGGATACTGGTCCTTTTTATCTATTCCGAGGTTTCCCTTCTATCTTTCTTTGTGCATAGAGAATAATTCATTCAATATTAAAATTTCCTATTTATTTATGATATAGTTCAACTTCTGCACAAAATAAAGGAAATAAAAATTATTTTTTTAATTAGTGATATATGAGTTTTACTCAAACAACCCGATAGCTATTCATTATATATAGTTCAGATTAGGTATATATTATTTTAGTTTATAAAAAAGGTATTAATATGACTCATTTCCTGGGAAGTATATAAAAATTTTAATTACTTCTAAGAATCAGTAAATATACAAAACACAGTGTTAAATTGCAAACGTTAAATAAAAAAAATCAAGATATTTAGCAAAGTATTTTTTAATTAAGTTTTATTATTATAATTATATCATTTTTACAATTGAGGTCTTCTTAAACGACCTACGTATAGAATAAAGGAGGTTAAATTAAAAAAAAATAATAATACATTTTTTTTAATTAATTTTTTTTTACAATTAAATTATTGCATTAATATTTGTTCGTTAATAAAACCAATATAATGTACCAAAAATGTTATTATATCACTATAACTAAGCCATTTATGGGCACTGAATGGTGTGGTAGAGGCCTGTAGGCACCCACGCCAGTACCGCTTTTCTGCCGCATAAGTGCATTTTCTACGGAACTGCTTAAACATTTGTAAAAAATAATCAGCGTTTTAGAAAGAAAAGTATATTCTCCAGATGGTTTATTTCAGCACGTTTTGCGTTATTGTAGGCCGTTTAATTACAAACGACGCTTGATTTGTAACTTGAAAATTTTTTTGTTAAAAAAATTGACTTTACTGGTGTTTTTCATAGCCTAAGCCAATTATTTTTTAATATTTCTTCATGTTTTATTATTCTATAACTATTCAGCTTTAATAAAAGACCAACTATGAGGAAATTAAGCCAAATGCTGATTCTCAGTGACCAAAAAACTAACTAAAGTCAAAGTCGTCAATCCGCCATCTTTGGACGCCATTTTGGGGCAGTGCGTTCACTTTTTTTTGTGGGAACATTGGCTTTTTTTTAATAAATAGTTACAAGGAACACAACGATATGCAATTTATAGGGATGTGGGGGGGGGTGCACGGTAAGGGGGTCTGGCCCACCGTGTATAGGTATATGCCTTAGATGTGACGGCAACTTTTTCCTTAAAATTGGCTAACCGGAAGTGCTACTTTATATCAACGCTGAAACACATTTTCACAATTTTCTCAAAAACGGCTCTAACGATTTTGATTAAACTCGGTGTATCATTGTATAATTAAGTGGTCTTTAATATCAATTAGGTCTTATCCCCATTGATGTCACTTTACAGGGCTTAAATGCCCAATGTTCATATACGTCTTCCTCTAAAGTACCTTTAATATGGTTTATTTTAAAAAGTTAATCATTTCACATTATTCAAAGTTACGAAAAAATGCTAAATATAACTTTTGAAAGAATTTGATAAGTTAATAAAGGAGAAAAAAATAAAAATGCAGAAAAACCTGCGTTGCTATAGACTGTAGCGCCTAAACGAATGTACCGATTTCAATGAAACTTCGCTAAAGTCATTTTCTCGACACCCTTTAAATTTATCTATATAACATACTTCAACGAAAAGAAGCTGGAAAAAAAGTTACGAGGGATGGTAAAATTAAATTCCGAATAACTCAAAAAGTATACACTTTTTTGGGATATTGTATGGTTTTTTAAAAGTTTATGGAATTTCCTAAAAAAACAAAAAAAAAAATCGTTAAGATCGGACAACTAGGAGGAAAGATATGGTCTCTAGTTTTTTTCCCTGAAGAGGCGAAAATTTGGATAAATTTAAAATATACTTTTTTAATTGTTGAGACTAAAAAAACCTTTTTTCTACAGATATTTAATAAAGTATCTTTCCTAAGAACATTTTTCATAAGAAATAAGTACCTAAATTTATACCTTTATTCTCAGTTCTATATTTCAACACTGCAATCACCACCTCCGGAATCAACTTACTCATATTCTGCATAGATAACTTTTTCAACTAAAAATATCACTAAAATGACATCACTTAAAAATATTGAAATTGGAGTTAGTCATTCTGAAGTTTATAAAAGCAAAGAAAGTTGTGTGGTTTATAAAAGCAGATGGAGTGACTAGATTTTTATTGCCTGTCGTCGATATATTAAATAGACATTTTGTAATTATAATGGTCTTAATGACTTGTTATCTGTAAGCTTTAAGCTTTAGCTCCGTTTAAAATGCACTTCAAAAAAATTTATAATAGCCCAGCATTGCCAGAAAATAATTTCTATTCATAGTAGATCGGTAAGTGAAAGTTGTGTGTTGCGCGCACCAGATTTTTTCATTTCTTATGTTACCTTATTTTGATTATGTTTATTTCATTAGTCTCTAATATGTTGCTGTTATGATTTATTTCTTAGTTCTCTGTTACTGTTATTATTCCATCTACTTCATTTTACTTTAAGTTCACTCTATCTACTTTATTTCACGAATATTTTTTAGGCTATACCTTTCACTTTTTTAATTTTTTATTATTCAATCTTTATAGTTTCTCATACCTATTGCTATATATTTTTTTTCTTAGCCCTGATGAAGGGCTGAACTTTGGGCTGAAAGGTCGGCAAAAATCAAAATCAATATACTTATTTATTTTTACTATTTTTTTTTTTTTTTTTTACTGATCACCCCAACCATTCTTCTCTTCTCTTCTATGTATATGATAGTTGAATTACCTCATTTGAAATTCTGTTATATGTGTTAACATAAGCAGCACCTCCCAATAGTCCTTCCCAAAAAACCAGCAACAAAGTAATAACAAAATATGGCAAATATGCATAAACAGCTTGAGTTGCAAATAAAATCAGATTTATTCCCTGAAAAAAAAAATAATTAGCCAAGAAATTATTAATAATAATTAATTTAAAATTATAATTTATCTAAGGAGCAGATTTGTTTTAGAATAATTGTATGTTACCCCTTTCAGCTGCTCCAATCACAAAAAACAATCATTACATTATAGTTACAAACTAAATGGAGATCGTTAATATATTTATGTATGTTTAATTAAGCTGTTTTAATACTCATAAATCATTTGAATATAAAAATAAGACATCAAAATCATTTTATCAAACAAATTTTACTGCTCCACAAAATTGGCCACAAACAGTTAAATATTTGAAAATTTAACATATTTAGTTTGAGAATCTTTAATAATGAACCATTTTTGTTTATTTTAAAAATTGACAAAGCTCTATTTAATAGTAATTAATATTCAGGTAAAATTAAAATTAGTATAGAAGTTCTCTTATAAAAGGGACAGATGGAAAAAACAATAGTTTAAATTCATCAATAATCCTTTCAAAAATTGAAAATATTATTAAAAAATCATTAATTAATTTTATAAAACAGTATAATAAAAAAAAAAAGAAACTCTTTATAATGATTTTATATCTATATATAATATGTGCAGGAGCGGGGTAGCTCAGTGGTAGCGCACTAAGCTTCTGGTGCTCAAGGTCCAAGGTTTGAATCCTGACTCATGGCAGACAAATTATTTATTCTGTTTCATCTATATTATCACAGTACTCATCTGAAGGTTCTACTAAAGCTTCAAACCTATTCTTAACATCTAGCTCAAATTGAGTCCTAATTGATGGATTTTTTAATTTTTCCAAATTAAAATTCTTGATATTGAAACGGTTTTCTTTTCTCTTTTTTATATTAATTTTTTGTAGAAGTTTAGCGATTACTAATTCATGATCCGACCCACATTCTGCTCAGCGATAACACCGTACATTTATTATACTTGCTATGTTGTATCCGAGCATGATCGATTTGATTTGGTTTTTGCGAATCCAGTGATGTCCAGGTATATTTATGAATATTCCTATGTTTAAACGTAGTACTTTTAATTATCAGGTTTTTCAAAATGGCAAAGTTTATCAGCAGGATCCCATCATCTTTACTATATTTGTGCAAACTTTCTTTACCAATCGTTGGAAAATAAACTTCTTCCCTCCCCACATTTGCGTTTGTGTCACCTACAAATATTTTTATGGAATTATGCAACAGTTTAACATAAACCCATTTGAGTTTATTGTAAAATTCGCATTTGACTTCATCAACACTGTCTTCAGTCAGAGAATGAATGTTTATTAACGCAATTTTGAACCAACCTTCCTGAATGGCTACTGAAATTCTATCACTAAAGAATTGTATGTCCCTCAAAAGCTGATAGCAATCTATTTCTAATCGGAAACCCGATACCTAAACAATGATTCCAGCTTCCTCCGTACCAAATAGTGAACTTTCCTTCCCTTATCAAGCCCTCCCCTGGCCAGCAAACTTCCTGCAGAGTCACAATATCCAAATTGTACCCATTAAGTCACATCTGGAATTAGGGAGGAAAATAACAATATTCTGACAGATCCGATAGACATATTAAATAAGTTAAAGAACCACTTTGACAATATTTTAAATATGGGAAATTATGATCTGCGTCCTCCTTCTGAGTACCAGAGTGCTGAACCGTTAATAGAAGAACCGAGTAAAGACGAAGTTGAAGTAGCTATCGGAACATTAAAATCTTATAAAGCAGTGGGAACCGATAATATTCGTAGTGAACTAATTAAGGGAAGCTGGAGTTTCTAAAATACATTTGTTGGTTAAAACAATCTGAGAGAAAGAGAAATTACCTGAAGAATAGAAAGAATCTATTCTTATTCTGATTCACAAAAAGAGTCCGAGGACGGATTATAACGACTATTGAGGAATTTCACTCCTTCTGGTTTGTTATAAAATATTCGGTTTAATCTTAACCAGTCGAATCATGGAATACGTCGAGGAAATTATCAACACGGATTTAGACAGAACCGTTCGACTATTGATCAAATATTTTCTTTACAGCAAATATTGGAGAAAAAATTAGAGTACAACGGTGTTGTTCCATTGGAGAAAAAATTAGAGTACAACGGTGTTGTTCCAGCTGTATATCGATTTCAAAAAAACTTACAATACTATTGACCGCCAGAAACTGTATAATATTCTAATCGAGTAGGAGATTCCAAAAAAATTATGAAATCTAGTCAGGATGTGCTTGACGAAAACACTCAATAATGTTAGAATCGGTAATAATTTATCCAAAAAGTTTAAGGTTTCTTCGAGTTTAAAACAAGGTGATTCCCTGTCACCTGTCCTGTTCAATTTAGCATTAGAACATGCTATTAAGGAGATAATACATACCGAAAAAGGGTTGGATCTGGCTGGGACAATACCCGTGCTTGGCTATGCGGATGAACAGGTCCTGTTAAGCGAAGAGACAGAAACTATAAAACTAATGATGGCAACGTTAATGAAAGCCGCTAAAGAACTAGGGCTCGAAATTGACACGAATAAGACAAAGTATATGGTTAGCTGCAAAAATTGCAATATTGCCGGTGATATAGATATAGAAGATAATATGTTTGAACACATAGAGAAGTTTAGGTATCTAGGGTCTATGATAACTTAAAAAACAAAACTGAAGAAGAAATTAAGGTTAGGCTGAAGGCGGGAAATGTTTGTTATTTTTCTATGACAAAACTACTTAGCTCGCGTCTCTTGTCCCGGAACTTAAAAACTAGAATCTCTAAAACCATTAATGTGAAACGTGGCTACTTCCTTTAAGAGATGAGCAACGTTTTAAGGTTTTTGAAAATAAAGTATTGCGTAGAATATTCAGACCGAAGAAGGATGAGTTAACTGGAGAGTTCAGACTGTATCCAGTTAATATAATTGAGGTGATTACATGGCGGTGAATCAAATGGGCTTGTAATATTGTTGGGCTTAGTAATGAAATTTGTATGATGACCTTAACATCCCTTATGTCCTTGACGTTATTCCATCCCGATTTTCAAATTTTCATCAGAACCTAATCCATCATACTAATCCCACAGCACAATCCTTATGCAGTTCTAGTCATCCCTACAATCCTCCTCGAAGGATGAAGCGGCAGTGGCCTCGAGATCTTTTTTAAAGACGTCATTGGAGTCCTGGCGATGGCCAGCTTCTCCACTCAAGTCATGAGCGTATGTGGCTTTAGTGCCCTCTCTTAGTCTCCACTGGATTCCCATCCTAGTGATGTGGCTGAGAGAGAAGAGCTAGGATCTCTTGGAGTCTTGCCGTGCCCTAGACACGTGAGGGAAAAGGCCCGACTCGGAGCTCCCTTGGCTGACTGTAAATATTTTAAATAAGTATGATTGTAATTTTATTTATTTTTTAATTTAATGTTGTCTTTTTCTGGACATAGCTCAAGCTTTTGACCGGGTATGGCACGCCGGGCTTCTTTCCAAGCTGAAAACCTATCTACCCCAGTCCCTGTACCTAATCCTCCACTCCTACCTCTCTGATCGTACCTTTCGGGTTCGCTGTGGTTCAGAATTTTCCAATTCCTACCCAGTTGAAGTCGGTGTTCCTCAAGGTAGCGTCTTGGGCCCCATCCTTTATATCCTTTTTACTGCCAATATTCCTGTCCATCCCAATACCTTCCTGGCAACATTTGCTGATGACACCGCCATCCTATCATCCAACTCAGATCCCGAAACAGCATCTTTAAATCTACAAAGGCACCTCTCCATGATTGAGCACTGGTGTAATAAATGGCGCATCAAAGTAAACGAATTCAAATGCAAACACATTACCTTCACACTCCGCTGCAGATCCTGTCCATCAGTCCACTTTAATTCCATCCAGCTTCCTTTTTCAGACACAGTCCAGTATCTTGGCTTTATCTTAGACCGAAGACTAACGTGGAACTCACATACTAGACTTAAAAGACAAGAACTTAACTGACGATACGGCCAATTATACAGACTACTGACCAGAAAATCTCAACTTTCAATTGACAACAAATTACTGATCTACAAGACAATCCTCAAACCTATTTGGACCTATGGACTTGAACTTTGGGGGACAGCAAAATTCTCTAACATCAAACGCATCCAATCCTTTCAATCCAAAGTCCTCCGAACAATAGTCGATGCTCCGTCCTATGAGACCAACAAAACCCTAAATCATGACCTTAATATCCCATTTGTTCTTGACCTTATCCCTGAAAAATTTTCAAAATTCCATCAGAACCTTATCAATCATCCAAATCTCCTAGCCCAATCCCTATCTAGTTCCACTCATCCCTATAACCCTCCTCGAAGGTTGAAGCGGCAGTGGCCCAGAGATCTTTTATAGTATTTATTTTGGAGTTCTAGCAATGGCCAGATTCTCCACTCAAGATATGAGTGTATGTGGCTAAAGCGCTCTCGCTCAAACTCCACCGGCCTTAGGACCAGTGAGGCGGTTGAGAGAGTAGCGCAGGGATTTGGGTTCCCCACCTGATTGTATATAGGTATGACTGTATTTTTATGTTTTTAATTTACTTATATTTAGGTTATTTTATTTTTTTATTGTATATAGTTTTTATTTATTATTATTTTACTTTTGTTAATTTTATTTATTTTTATGTATATACAGTGTGAATGTGTTCATTTATCAATATAATTATTGTTCCCGTGACAGAATATTATATGTCTAAATAAATTAAATAAAATGTTGTCTTATGTTTGATTTATTCTGTTATTCCAAGTTTCATTTTATTTTATTTTGTTATAATCTCGTTTTTCTTTTATTGTATTTATGGTATGTTTGTGTTTCATTCATCCTAAATACTCAAAGCCCTTAATTGAGGCAAAATGTATTTTTTTCTCAAAAAATATTATTAAATAAAGTAATGAAATAATTCTTAAAAGGTTAATATTTGATGTACTGAATGGTAAACGTTTGAGGGGTAGAGCGAAGCAAAGGTGAGAAGATTGCGTAAAAGCCGATCTGAAAGAACTGGGTTTGGACAGCGAACGGTGGAGGGAGGTGTGTAATAAGCGATTAGTGGTGTTGGCATCGAATCTTCGGGTTCGCTAAGCCTTTTATTATTATTATTATTATTATTTTATATTATAAAATTGGGGAACATGTGTTTATTGTCTCAACCCAACCTGAGAAATAATTTGTAGTTTTAATAATTTTAAATAATTGTGTGAAATAAATATAATTTTGTTAAGAAACGGTTTGTTTACTTTTCAGAAGAAATGTAACCTTTCAACAACCACACACACACACACACACACACACACACACACACACATATATACAATAAATGTTTCAACCGGTTGCAATTTAATCTTTTTTTTTCTCTGTTTTACAATAGATATTGAATACATCGTACAACCATAATTTACTATGTTACCATAAATTACTAACCTGAAGGAAAGCTAAAACCCATGTTTTATTAATCTTGACTATGTTGATAGATGAGCGAGATGCAAATACTCCAATCTGATAAGCAACTTGGTACCATTTGTACTGTTCTTTATAACTCAACCAATCTATGTCAAACTGAACCAGTTCAGCCTAGAACAACAAAACAATAAATATAATTGTAAAATAACCAAGTAAAGAACTGCTGAAATCATAGTTTTAGTATGTTTTAAATCTGTACAATATTAATAAAAGAATATCAAAATCAAGAGAAAAAAAGGAAAAGGAATAACAAAATTCATTACAATGAGTCTTTTATAATATAAACTCTTTCTTTATTTAATGAACCTATTTTAGAACGGGAAATATGATATATTTATAAAAACATGTAATTAGATATATTTAAAAAAATAAATACTAACCAAACCTTGGTTGATGAGGTATTCAAATAAATATACCAAACACAGTGGAACCATATACTTTAATAGCGAGGGTGACGTTTTCAATTTTTGAAAAAAAGTTTCTGTGCTTGCAGTTAAAGGTGCAATGTCATTGTAATTATTAATATCATCATTCTGAGAAAGATTGGGTTTTGAGCTAGTTTCTTCTACAACATCATTCTGTAATTTTTTATTTGGTTTTTCAAGCAGAGCCCAAAAACTGTAATTTAAACAAGTTTTAATTATTACATATTTTTAGTCATCATAAATAATGGTCATTATTAAAAATGAACAAAGCTAACTAAAAATATAAAAAAAATAAATAAAGCCAATTTATTGAATGTTGAACAATGCCGAGCTGACCAAATGGATCCTAACACTGAAAGAAATCAAGACAATGAGATTGAATCCCATGATGAGGATGAAGTGTGTGATGCAATCGTTAAGCTTAGAAACCATAAGATCCATAGAACTGATGACATGTCCACAAAAGTCTTTAAGAAAGGAGGTGGAAATCTTGTTAAAGCCTTTTAAAGCCTGTTTGTAACTGTATGGACATCCGAAATATAGTGATAGAAAAAGCCGGTACTTGTGAGTTAGCTGGTCGCCACTGCTATCCGTCATATTTTATAACCTGAACACTGATAATTCTGATACTGATAATACCTACCTTATTATTTATATTTATGGAAATTGAAATATACAAAAACAAATATATAATAATAATAAAACATTTTTATTTTACAAGGTTTGGTACTTGCCTCCTACGCGGTTGGGATGGACTGCTATCTACCAATGTTTATAACCTAAACACTGATAATTCTGATAAGGCACTGATAATACCTATCTTCGTATTTATATATATGGAAATTGAAATAGACAAAAATGGAAATTGAAACAGACAAGATTTTATATATTTTGGGAGACAAAATAGCTTAATTCTATTTAAAATAGTGAGAAACGTCTCCTCTTCTCTGTGGACCTGCCGCCACAAATATTAACATAAATATGAATCCAGGTATTGCCTCACAGTTCCAGAATGTTTTTTATTTCTCCACTTACCTGAGCCCCATAATCGTTCTATGTGTTGATTATGGACCCCACTTGAAGGATCGATAAAGTTATAATGGTGATTCATCTGGAAATAGAAGAAGTTTGCTTCATTTAGTTGTTAGGTGTTGTATCCTTTCCAAAATTCAGAATATACAGTGGTTCTCTCTTTTATATTATTTTTAAAACATTCTAATAGAATTTTTGCTTTTCTGTCTTTTATCTTTACAATGAAACACTTGTCTGTTTCTCGACAAACTCCAACTTCTGCCCATATCAAATAGTGTTCTAAAATGGTTCCACTCCTTATCCGCTCACAGACAGTTGTCATTCCTAATAAATCTCTATCATCACCCCTCTAATTAACACAAGGTGTTCCTCAGGGCTCTCACTCTATCTGACCATTTTCTCCATTTATATTAGTGATCTTCCTGACTCCATTAATCACTCCCATTACCACTTATATGCCGATGATTTCCAAATTTACCAATCTTTCCACCCTTCTGAGATAACTGAGGCTACGCAAAGTAACAAGAGGATATTGACTGCATCAACAGATGTGCAAAAATAAATGAGTTAAAGCTGAATGTAGATAGAACAAAGGCTATTCTCATCGGTTCCAGGCATCTCATTAGTTCCCTTCCTTACTCTTCTCTACTCTACCTCAATAACTGCCCCATCCATGTTTTCCCAATAGTCAAAAATGTAGGAGTTATCTTTGATCAGACACTTTCCTGGAATAACCATATTTCCCATATATCCAGAAAATCCATAACTGTTCTTAAACAACTCCTAAGGTTCCATGATTCTATTCCTCAAAAAACAAGACAGCTCCTTGTAACCTCCCTCGTTTCCCCGTTACCTCAACTAGGGTTGCTTGGTGTATGGAGGGCTATCTGAAAGACTGGAGGTAAAATTGAAGAGACTTATGAACTGTTTTGCTAGATTCATCTTTGGAATTCTCAGGCTTCCTCATGTTTGCAGCTGGTATACCGAGTTGAAGTGGCTCTATTCTACTTCCCGACGACAATTCCTTCTTTGTGTTTTTCTTTACCAGGTCCTAAGAACCAAAAATGCTCCCTATAGCATAGAACTCCTCCCTCTAAGTTTCTATGTAATACTTATTGGATTCTGTAATTACAACTGCTCACTAACAATTAATCGACAAGTTCCATTTGATTTGATTTATTTTTCTTTGAATAAATATAAACCATATAAAATGTACTAGTTACTTAGTTTAGTTAGTTATATTACTTTTTTTACTATTGTTGTTCAAGTATGATTGCAATTGAAATTAACATTCAAATATGACCTCTTTGTATTTTTTCAAACCAGACTAATGGACCAATGTTTTGTACCATGTTATTATTATTCTTAGGAGACTTTATTCACAGGATAAAATTATTTTTTCATTTCAGTACATTACAAACATCCATTGTTCAGGGAGCACCTACATGATTTTTCTTTTAGAAAAAAGACTTTCGTCTATTTTAATATAGAAAATAACAAAATCAACAAAAAAAAAACTGAAAACAATTGAATGACGAGAAGAACACACAATTAACTAGCAGAGACGAGTGATAAGAAGTGGTTACACAAGATAAGAAGGTAGGTTCCATGCTAAGTCCCAAGTACCAGAAAGTCAATATTATGCCTAATCCATAAGAAGGAGGGTGTACTTCATTGTAAAAATTATCAAGGTAAATTGCTATTAACTAGCAAGTTTAAAATATTTTCTAACATTTTATACATGTGACTTCTACAATATGTGGAGGGTTTATTGGGAAAATATTAGTGTGGATTCCACAAAAGTAAATCAACGGTCGATCAGATATTCTTTTCTATAATTTATAATACCAGATATTATCAGTGAAAATATTGGCTGAATAAAAATTTATTCAAGACAAAAATTTACTGAATAAACATTATTCAAGGATTAATCATTCCATTTTTGTTTAAAGTATTGAAATTATATACATTTTTTTTAAATTAACTTTTTGGATATGTTAAATAAGGATCCATTATTATATCGGATTTCTGATTGCGCATCATGCTTTTGTAACTTTTTGGATTTAATTGATATTAGGGTCAACTATAATGTTGTCAGGAGGGGAGGGGGGGGGGCTTTTTATAAAAATACTGTTGAATTCCAGACTGCGCGATTGGGCATCATGTTTTTGTAACTTTTCGGATTTGTCATTTTAACTTAATCAGTCAAATACTTAAAGAGTATTTGACTGATTAAGTTATGATGACAAGGACATTTCAGTCAATGTGTTTTAATTTTTTTTAAATAGGTTTCTTCCCTTGAAAATGGCCTAAGGGCTGAAACATCGGTGTATAAAAGAAAAATAAAGTAGGACTTTTGTGATCAAAATGTGTGTTTTTATTGTGATAATAAAGTTAAGTCCTACAAGTATAAATATATATTTAATTGTTTTTTAAATGATTAATGCTAAAATAAATTTTTATTCAGAGGAGATTTCCTTAGAATAAATATTTCTTCAGCATATTTTTATTGAATATTTTTTTTTTCATATAAAAATACTGAATAATTTTAAGAATAACTAAAAGTTACAAAAATTTGATGCGCAATCTCAAATCCGATACTGTTTTCATAAAAGATGCCCCCGACAGCATATTAATAGACCATAATATCGAATAAATCCTAAAAGTTACAAAAACGTGATGTGCAATTGCGCAATATTCTTCTTCTATAATAGCATGACAGACGCATAAAGCGGCCCTTGGCCTGCTCAATTTTTTTGCCCCAAACAACCCTATCTGCAGCATGTAACTATGCTTATCCCTGTCTATCTCATGTCTGTGAGGCCACCATCCTGTCAGCGTATCAGCGTAGCATGATCTGGGTCTTGTCCCACTTGGCAAGTTCCTGTATGCTTTTAGAGAGTATCTGTAGTTTTCTATCCTGATGACCTGTCTAATCTATTTTAGTATCTGCAACCTAGCCAAGTTGGAGATACTTAAATCTTGGTATTCACCATATAACTTTGAGGTCCGGAGCAGATGCCCACTTTCATTATCTTTGACTGGTCCTAGAATGCGTCTCAGGATTTTCCTCTCAAAGCAATCGAGCCTTTGTGCAGTTACCTTGTTGAGTGTCTGTTTTGCACACTTAAGTCACTATTTGCCTTACATGACATTTGTATAGTCTTATTTTCATAGTGCGACTTAGTGATCTGCTTCTAATCATTTTGGCTATAGAGAAATAGGCTCTATTGGCTGCTACTAATCTGCATCCTATTTGATGTTTTTCTTCCATCTTTTCTGTGATAGATTCCATCATTATAGTCGACCCTAATACCAATTTTTTTTTTATTGAAATTTACAACTGTATTAAATGATAAATACAGTATAAACAAGTAAATATGAAATAAGTAACATGACATGTACAACATGAAGAGAAACTACCCATTTGTAGCACTCCAATTAATATCAATTAAATCTGAAAAGCTATAAAAACATGATGCACAATTGCGCAATCTGGAATCTGACACTATTTTCATAAAAAGCCCTGACAACATTATAGTCAACCCTAATATTGATTAAATCTTAATTGGTTATAAAAATATGATGCGCAATCTGAAATCCAACAGTATTTACATAAAAAAATGTCCTCCACAACATAATAGTAGATCCTAATATCGATTAAATCAGAAAAGTTAGAAAAAATCGATTATAAAATAAATTGATATAGTGAAATTTTAAAATTGGTTTAATAAAACGCTCCTCTAATAAAGTTATTAGACTTTGAAGTAAAAAATAATCTTAATATCAATTTCGTTCTTTTTGTTTCAGGTGTAGCCTATAATTTCCGTAGCATTTTATTCTAGGATATTAATAGTATCTATTTATTTACCTACTTGAAATTATTTTCAATCAAACGTCAAAAAAACAGACAAGTATTCTGTTTAGTTAATTAAACAATGGGCCTTTATTTTGAAAAAAAAAATTGAAAATTAAATTTTTTAAAAATGATTAATGCTAGAATATATTTTTATTCAGTGAATATTTCCTTAGAATAAATATTTATTTAGTCATATTTTTATTGAATATTTTGTTTTTTTCATACAAAAATATTGAATAATTCTAAGAATAAATCAGAACTACAGGCTATTCTAGATATCGCCAATCACTAAAATATTAGTA